GGGGGGGGGGGGGGTCAGGGGGTCCCCCCCCCCCCCTTCAAATAATCCTGGATCCGCCCAATGAGAATTTATCAGCCTTCCATAAGTCAGATATAAATACGGGTTCACAACTGAAAATTATATAAGTGTTAAGGACAAAATTCATTCGTTATTTTTAGTATTGAAAAGTTTGATGTTAAATAACTATTGTAAAATCGTTCAACCCATTCATTGGAAGGAGTCATAGCTCCCATGCGTTTTACACAAAGCTTAATCAGAGATCAACCTTAGCTGAAACAAACCAGCAGAAACTTTGCAAAGATCGACCAGTCTCTGACTTTACTATGCAGAACTGTGGCATATACTAGTATTATACTATAGTCCAGAAAAATCATCCACCATCTACCAAACTTTTGTTTCTACCATTAATTCAAATTTATTAGACATAAATATGCAGAATATAAAACTATCGTAATATCCCTCTTTCGTGTTTATATTAGTTTTGTAACTTACAACGTGTATACAACATTGGTCAAAAAGGCTGTCCCACCCCCCATTTCCATGTACTTTTATTTACAAATGATCACCTCACAGCTGTAAATTGTTAGAAATAGTGCTTTTTATTCCAGATACAGTGTTTAACGCGATTAAGAGTTCGAAAAAATATAAAATAGTGGTGATTTGTTCCGCTTGATTTGTTTTTCACTTTGCTTTTACTTGAAATAAAGTTATCCTTTTCGTGACTGGGAGTTGAAAAAACTGTGCAAGGGGTAAAGATATGCAATAGCACAAGAGTTGATCTTGTATTAAAGAAATGGATATTCTTACTGAGCCCAACACCAAGGAAATAGCCTGACAAGATCTTGCTTGTTTGTTCGACGTTCAGACGTCCATACGATACCTAACATGTTGGCTAAAAGTTCATGTAGACGTGGTATAATTGATGACTACCCGTATACGGGACATAGAGTGATCTTAGTGAAAATTACGTTGACAGTGGGCCACGTGTGAACAATGTCACGCGCATGGAGAAATCTTTCCAACTTGCAATTCTTTGTTAGTGCTGTCTTACAATTTCTTGACAAGCCTGGTTTAGCAGGACTTTCAGAAACCTTGACACTTAACAGAGATGTCCAATTGTGAAACTAAGATTTTGTAGGGAGTCCCTTAACTGTGTTTGTTTTTATTTAAATATTGGAGTTTTTTTTAAAAAAGATTTTCTATGATATTTTAACGTTGCATCTAACCACAAAAATCAATCCATCACCAAATACTACCAACATTGTTTCCGAGCACACCAGTCACAATCTATTACCAAATACTACCCACATTGCTTCCGAGCACACCAGTCACAATCTATTACCAAATACTACCCACATTGCTTCCGAGTACACCAGTCACAATCTATTACCAAATACTACCCACATTGCTTCCGAGTACACCAGTCACAATCTATTACCAAATACTACCCACATTGCTTCCGAGTACACCAGTCACAATCTATTACCAAATATTACCCACATTGCTTCCGAGTACACCAGTCACAATCTATTACCAAATATTACCCACATTGCTTCCGAGTACACCAGTCACAATCTATTACCAAATATTACCCACATTGCTTCCGAGTACACCAGTCACAATCTATTACCAAATATTACCCACATTGCTTCCGAGTACACCAGTCACAATCTATTACCAAATATTACCCACATTGCTTCCGAGTACACCAGTCACAATCTATTACCAAATATTACCCACATTGCTTCCGAGTACACCAGTCACAATCTATTACCAAATATTACCCACATTGCTTCCGAGTACACCAGTCACAATCTATTACCAAATATTACCCACATTGCTTCCGAGTACACCAGTCACAATCTATTACCAAATATTACCCACATTGCTTCCGAGTACACCAGTCACAATCTATTACCAAATATTACCCACATTGCTTCCGAGTACACCAGTCACAATCTATTACCAAATATTACCCACATTGCTTCCGAGTACACCAGTCACAATCTATTACCAAATATTACCCACATTGCTTCCGAGTACACCAGTCACAATCTATTACCAAATATTACCCACATTGCTTCCGAGTACACCAGTCACAATCTATTACCAAATATTACCCACATTGCTTCCGAGTACACCAGTCACAATCTATTACCAAATATTACCCACATTGCTTCCGAGTACACCAGTCACAATCTATTACCAAATATTACCCACATTGCTTCCGAGTACACCAGTCACAATCTATTACCAAATACTACCCACATTGCTTCCGAGTACACCAGTCACAATCTATTACCAAATACTACCCACATTGCTTCCGAGTACACCAGTCACAATCTATTACCAAATATTACCCACATTGCTTCCGAGTACACCAGTCACAATCTATTACCAAATATTACCCACATTGCTTCCGAGTACACCAGTCACAATCTATTACCAAATATTACCCACATTGCTTCCGAGCACACCAATCACAATCTATCACCAAGTATTTCCATGCATGTTTATAAACTATATCAGGTATAAAAAGTATTAGCACTCCTTTGTATGACACTGATGATTGAGTTATAGTAAACTACATCAGAATACATAACTAGAAAAGCGCTCAGATAGCGAACGCAGACCTCCACAAAGGAAACTTATACAAAACGGCATTAAAGTGTATACTTTTTTATTTTATTGGTATTTGGAGGGAACTTCCGTTGTTTTATTGTGATCATTTGCTTTTCAATACCACATGAAAAATTACTTTTTTTCACAATCAGTTTCTGGGAGAATCTTGTAAGAAAGTATATAAAGACAATTGCGTCTTCCTTGACGTAGGTCATAACGATCCGTGATAGTGTTGGCATTATTATCTCAGGCAGTGATCATCAGTGTAAGGTGGAGAACTACAACATTGTCAGCCAGTTAGTTTAAATAATGCTTTGTCTTCTATGATACATGTATATTTGTAGACACAGCCTCTTCTGATGATTAAATAATTCATTCATACATGTTCTCTAAACGTGCTTGTACTATCTGTGAAATATAACTTTCTTTTACCTTTTACAAGCGTTCAGAATAAAATCAGTTAAGGTGAATTTTTTAAAATAAAAACACTTTCGAGTGTTTCTGTATTTCGCCAGGCCATGGCAGAACTTGAATTTTGTTACTAACATCAAAATTTCTTTAATACACAGCTGTATCATTGCAAATACAATTAATCGCTTGGTTTGCAAATGAATTTTAACAAAACAAAAAAACGTTTATGATTCCCATGGACATTTGCAACCATTATTGGTTAAAAAAGATTAAAAACAAAATGACAATTTCATCATTATATTTTATTGCATAAGCGATGTAAAATTTCATACATGTAATACAGAATATGTTCCCAAATTGCACTGTTCTATTTATGGGCAAAAGCTGTAAAGATATTTAGAATGATATATGAGCAATGAACTGTTTGGTATGGGTGACGTGGTTGATGTCGTCATATCCGGCTGTGCACACTGCAGAATGAAGGTTATCCTCAGCATCAGTTTCTGGAATATAAAGAAATGATTGATAATGACTCTTAGGCACTGCACGGGTCTAGATAGTGAAATCGGACCAATACAAAAATTAATGGATAGACACATTTTCCGACTCGTCTTAACTAGCCATTAGGAAAACATGCATTAGGCTGAATATTTCCAGTTAACTTACATGGAACAAACTGTAAAATAAGATAGTAAAATTGAAATCTTACCACAAAAACCCCCACGGGGTAATTGATCCCTTCTTTCCTCCGTATGGAGCCTTTCCGTGTCCAGCACCTTTGTATCCATAGCCTCCTTCGTTGCTGTTGTATCCGTTCAGGTGATATCCGTTGCGATCACCATATCCGTACCTTTGACCATAATAGCTGTTGTCGCCATTTCCATATCCGCCTGGTTGGTATCCATAGTGAGTCCTTTTACAAAATAAAAAAGACAAATAACTTTTCAATTTCATTGGGATAAACTATCAATATGAAAGACAAACAGTCTTCAGTGGCACTCAGGTTATTAGACTTGGAGTAAAGGCTGAGCGTATCATTTCTGTATAAAATAATCATTTCTTGGCATCTCTTGTCTCGATTCTCGAGCGCTGAGCAAAATGAAAGCCCCCCCAAAATTGCTTATAAACAAAAGTAAGGTGATTCCTTCAGCTACATATTTGAAAATAGACTGTCCGGATCTTTTTTTTTTATTTGTAATTTTGTATTACATTTTGAGTATTGGTAAGAGTAAATCGCAGAAACATCGCAGTCCAACGAAGCGGCCGCTGCTGCCAAAGCCACGAGTAGAATCAGCTTTATCATCTTGGCTGAAAAAGTCACAAATACATGAAAACCATACACACATACACACACCCACTAACTCACTTTTTACTCCCAGAGTCCCACCTAGTGGCTGCTGCTGTCAAAGCCACGAGAGCAGCGAGTAGAATCAGCTTCATCATCTTGGCGACAAAAGAGCTGTCATCTGCTAACTGTTGAAGTGTGACTTGGAGCTTGATTGAAGTCGAAGTCTGTCAAAACTGGACCAAGGCAACCTTTTATACCGTCCCGACACACATTGAATTTGTAATTATTGTATTTTAAGAAGACAGTATTTTGCCGATAGATATTTGCGACGAAGGTCGGGATGGTTAATTTGATAAAAGACACGTAAGGAATAAATCACCATTTTGGCAACGCATCATCAAACTGCCAAAATTAATTCTCCCGATTTTTAAACAGCCAGGAAAGAAATGACGACTAAGGTAGAAACACGCCAAAACTGCTCTTAGCAACTATGCCTTACTCCTTTTTAAGCTATTGTAAGATACGGCAGTCAAAGGATTTGGTTTGAAAGTGATTATTTTGTCGGTCTTTAAATTATGACAGAGTTGACAAAGCGTTTTTTATCAATTCAGATCATGATGTTTTAAACACAAAACCATGTAACAAACCCGCGTATCCTTGATACGCATCTAGCAAATGATAAACTGCAATTTCTGCTGATAGATGAATAATACCAATACTGAAAATCGAAAAAAAAAACACCATTTTGTCTCCTCGTTACAGCGATTGTAAGTCTAACCTTATTATTAATTCTGGTGAGAAGTACAACAGGATAGGACACTATATTTTACGACCTTTTCATTAGGTAATAATTCTCTGCCTTGGGTGGATTTAAAACACGCTGTATGTTACAGCTGATAGACTTATATTACATGGTTGGCGTCAATAAGATGTGCGTCTGCTTTAAGGCATACTGGTACCTGAACCTGATGGATAAGTGTGGTGACTTCAATCTCTCTCTCTCTCTCTCTCTCTCTCTCTCTCACACACACACTTAGATAAAACATGCCGTCCGAATCATTGACGAGAAATATAACGCCGCCTTACTTCATTGTTACAAGAAAAGGAGACTTCCAATAACACACTGTCAAAGAAGAAGCAGTTGAGTGGTAATTTTCAATAGGTCTTAGAAAAGAGACTATTTTACACTAGCAAACATATTTCCTTTTTTTCTTTTTTTTTTTCAAAAGCAACTGGTAGTAACGAACCAATGCTAATGAACTTGATGAATGCTGCTAAATAAACAATACCCAATGAAAATAACGAAAAAAAATCGCTTCTCTGTCTTCTCATCACAAAGGTTGCAAGTCATTCAGCTCAGAGAACAATATATTTTACGAGTGTTTCATTAGATAGAAAGTCCTTGGGGTAAACTGAAAAGACTGTTTATTGCAGCACTACAATTTATGACAGACGATAGGCTTAAACGGGTTGGCATTAATTATACGTAATTGTAAGCTTCAAAGTGGTACGTGAATTGGATGGAAAAGATTGGTACAAATATAGTTGCACCGGACGCCTCCAAAATCTCTCTCTCTCTCTTTCTCTCTCACACACACACAAACACACACACGCTCATATTGTCAGGAAGGATCTTTTAATGCAATATATTATGCAATCCTCATTCGTAGCATATGTAACGTTAGTTAGTGACAGCATGCAGCAAATAAGAGGTTTATCCATATACAATGAGTGGCAGATGACAATCGCTATGCACTGTCTAGAAGGACGGATTTGACATTATATGCTAACTGAACTTTCGTGCTATATTTCAAAATGGAGGATACAACGGACTATACCAAATGGAACTTTTCATTTGAGTGGATAAGAACATGTTATTGCATGTGGTTACAATGACACATTAAGTATTGTATGTTGAATATTAAATATGTTTAGTATTAATTATATATCAATATTCAGTTTATCGGTCTTATAATCATTAGTTATTGACATTTACCTATACAGTTATTGGTACAGGAACAGTGTACTTAGCCTTTGCAAAGATGAAGACATGAAACTGATCATATGCATTAAGGAAGATTCTTCCTTAATTATTTTTTCGGTACGTTTTTGTTCAGTCGTGGATTGGGTTTGATATAAAACGATTGTTTCTCTTATAGCCATCAGAAGAGAGCGCTACCGTGTGGATGAATATGAAGTTAAACAGGAACTTCGTCATCGACGATGCGCTGGTCGCAACGTTGTGTGGTGAATGCTGTTTATATTCGACTGGGGATAGCCAACCCTATTGTCTCACGTAGTGCACTCCATCAATATCTAAAATGACAAACGACAGAGAGAAACCGTATATGAAAATGTGTCAGAGTCATAATAAGAGAGTAACAGATTTAAACATCCGCGCGGAGAAAACAAATAAAAATATCTGTGCTCTTGGGCCGCACATTGGAAGGTGTAAATGCCAATACGAAATATATCCACGAACATTTGTATTTTCATAAAAATTTATAAATCTATCTTCCTTTAAGTTATATTTTGGGTTTCATGTCCAACGTATTTCTATTTTATCATAAGTTTCTTATAAAATATCTATGTACTTAGTTTTGTTTTGCATGGATTTATGGAAAAAGAAAAATGGAGTGTCTAAAATTTATTTTAATGTATATTTTAATTTTAAATATGCCTAGGGACAGGCATATCGTCCCCTGGAGATAATGTAACGTTAGTTAGTGACAGCATGCAGCGAATAATAGCGGGGAGTGTTTTGTAATGTCACTTTAGTTGATTGACATGCTCTTATGGTATTTATACAACTGCGTTTAGTGTAAACAGGGAGAAGGCCGCTAGAGATTGCATGAGGTAGGAATAGAAATGAAGGAAGCGGCGCGGGTAATAACTGGACAGTAGTTCAATAAATAATAAGAAAGATAATATCTGAGTTGTATTTGCTACCTCGCGTAACATGACGAAGACAAGCCAATAGCTTCGTCACAAATAGAAGATAAAAATAAAACCAAACAAACAAAGGGACATTTTCTTCACAGCCGCATACTAAAGTAAACTCGATACAAACTTTAATTCATTCATGATAGTTTATTCCTATGTGTGTAAAATATTGGGCTGGTACAAATGTATGCGATTTAGATACGTTCACCTCTACTAGTTTATTAAAGCATTGCCTATGTGGAGATGGAACATAGCCGCATTTATTTGATAATGAACTCTCGCAAAACACGCAAAAACACACACTGAGAGAGTGTCTATCTTCAGGTGTATACATTGTATTAACACTTATTTTTAATTAGCAGATTCAAGGCGTTCTATGCTTTACTTTGACTGAGGCGTTATTTAACGACCCCCCCCTCCTTCAAGATGGGTCCAGTGCTCCCACTGACTACACGTGAATTGGGCGTCCGCCAGTAGTCATTCTTTCATGAATTGAATCAGAATGGCGACGCCCAATGCACGTGTGCACGTGGTCACTGGGAGCGCTGGACTATGTGTACAACTTTTTTCCATCTGATTAATGTACCACTTTGAAGCTTACAAGTACATATGACGCGAACCCGATTATGTCCATTATAGCCATCAAAGTGTTTTCATTGTACCCCAGACGCTTCTTATCTAATGAAACACCCGTAAATATGTCTTGCCCTCACCTGTCGTAACTTCTGAATCAATGAGTGACTTGCCAACTTTGTGATGGGCAGACAAACTGGTGACATTTTTTTTTTAGAGTTTTTCATGTGATGTACATGTAGTTAATTTAACAGCCTTAGTAGATAAGTAGGAATTTTGGAGGTTTCCTTGCATTTGAATGAGAGCTTCAGAGAGACCTTAGGTTTTAGATGTCAGTATTGCCAGCTCGATCTTGATTTCATATGTAACCCAACCCGCACGAAAATGCAGTAGTATCGAAGTAGCAAAGAAGCATTAACGCAGTAGTGGTGTGGAGCATATTTGCAGTAGAAATGCAGCATAGCCTACTGCAATTCTACTTCAAAAATTACATAGGGTCGTACAGAGGAGGAGCATTAATGCAGTAGATTTGCAGCATGATAGAAGCATGTTTCAAATATGCTAATTAGCTCCCCAGTCGAAGCAGATTTGAAGCATGTTTGCAGTAGAATTGCAGTAGTCTACTGCGCTGGAGTATCTACTGCGTTTTCTTGCGGGATATCAGAAATACTGACTCTAGCCACTACCGACAGATTGGGGGGGGGTCGGCAAAATTTTGCCTGGGGCGCTTTCATATTTGGAAGTCACATGTCTCGTACGTCACAGATATGCCCCGCCTGGAGCTGCCTTCCCCGCCTTGAGCTGACGTCATATCTTGCAGACGAGACAAAGAAGCAAAGTGGCTGACGTGGAGTTTGAAGTTTGAACTGAGATATCTTGCATTCTTAAATCAGTGCCACAACAAAAGCACCCTTCTGCTTTAAAAACTGATTTTGGGTACAGCCACTGCGTATTCCTTATAGTGGTTTCGGACATACAGTGTACAGTAGCTGTCAAACTTTGCACACGGCAAGCATGTCTATTGTGTTTATATCTTCAGGAGCAAATGTTTTTTGATAAGCAAAACAATACCACAACATCTAGTGTCTCATTTTCTTCTAAAAAAAAGATATTATTAATTTTTCAATTCAAATCTTAAATACAGTAAATAAAATTAAATAAAAGAAAATTAAACATGCTTTACGTTTGATTTTAGACTTATGACATTCAAATGCAGATTCACTGCGGAGTAATTCCTTTAACTGACGGTACTCGAAATTACCGCTGTTCGTCAGGACCACTATAAAGCTCCCGATGCAAAGGTGTGAATTGAGCAAGCAAGCTTTTTAGTACCCTGACAATCAGGCACAGAAAGCTCATCCATCTGTTGAAAAATTATATTCCTCGCCGATGATTTGGACGGCATGTCTTATCTGAGTGTATGTATGTGTATAAGAGAGAAAGAGATAAATAAAGAGAGAGAGAGAGAGAGAGAGAGAGAGAGAGAGATTGCAGATTCTACACTTGTCCATCAGATTCAGGTACCAGTTTACCTTAAAGCTGAAACGCACATTTTACTGTCACCAACCCCAGGCCTACCCAACTACCAGACTCGGCACCTACGGATCCAGAATAAACC